AGAACAATGTATTTTTCATCACCCAACATAATTAATTAAATGACCTATACTCATTCTTTCAATATCAAACTATACCATGCTCCACGTTATTCAATTAATGGGTACCACTATATATTTATTTTTAATGGGTACCACTATATATCTAGTTAAATAATGACTAAAGACAAAAATAAATAAATAAATAAATAAATTAGATCTTACATGGGAAAACGATATATAAAACATATCGAATGAAGTCTTCTTGATCATCGACTTTTTCACAAACAGTAAGTGTATCGTATAACCGTGACACCTTTAACTTTCTTTGGGGCCAACTTGGTCTTCTTGTTGATATCCATAAATACTTTTTTCTTAGACAAAAAGTTGGTTTTGGAACACACTTTTCACAGTTTTGGGTTTATTTAGGATGGTTATTGAATACTTTATTGTCGGTTAACCATGATTTGATACACTTGAGCCATTAATTAAATCGTTGTTAGTCGTAAATCCATTCCCTAGTGTGATAAATTGGTTTGATGATTCATAGATGGTCAAAATTCGATCATACAAGAAAGTTCATGAGCAACTCTTGTAAACTGATACCCTAGAAACCAGATCATATGCTCGAACACTCTTGGATAAGGCACGAAGTGTGGTCTTTGTTCACATTAAGGTAATCATGTTTTTTTCGTACAAATTTAACCATTAAACTTGTTTGGCGTGTTCAAAATAAGGTAACATGAGTGGTAATTAACGTTAACATTTTATAAACATGTCAAACAAGTTTACAGGTCAAATGTACACAAAAAAAACATGGTCACCTAAATATAAACAAAAATCAAAGTTTCTTACCATTTTTTACTAATAATGGGTTCTTTATGTTAAGTGCAAGTAGTCATAAGACCTATTGATGTGACATGAAATTAGGTTGTCCGGTCTTTGTGTATGAGGAGATGGTTAGATCTTGGGCCAACCTAGTTTAAGCCCAGCTAGTTAGGGGTTAAGTTGTATACGCTTAAAAGGCTAGGTTGTATGTGCTTTAAAGACCTAATAACACTGCCTAGCCCATGACTAGCTGTGACTAAATTGGGTTAGATCAAGCCTAATCTAATTGTTCATTGAATGTCGTAGCCTGATCCTAGAATACAGTCCCTGAGACGGTTCTTGTCAAATATTACCAAAGCGGGTAAGAACCTTTTGTTTTTATCCATATTTAGGTAACTATGTTTTTTTTTTGTACACATTTGACCAATAAACTTGTTTGATATATTCATAATAGAGTAATATTGTTGTAATTATCAGTTATATTACCCTATTTTGAACAGGTCAAACAAGTTTACGTAAATATAGACAAAGACCAAAGTTCGTTACCTTTCTAGATCACTAACCCATGCCATATCAACCATCATGCCACATACAATTAGAGGAACCAATGAGAGTCATATTAAACAAAATAATTTAAATTTGAGAAGAAAAAAAGAGTAACAAGTCATCTTTTTTTCATTAAAATTATCTCATATGTAATCACTAACCAACTACTTATTGGTCTACCGGGTAAGACATTAATCTCTCATATAGGAGGTCCAGCGTTCAAATTTTGGGAATTCAACTAGGAGTTGCTTAGGAGATGGTTGTAACGTATACATCATATTACCCAAACACAACAAAAGGTGTTTGGGTAATAAAAATATTCATTTGAAAATAACTTTTTGAATGAAGAAAAAGAGTTTCTAAAAATCATAAAAACCTGAAATTTTGTTGTTTTACATATAAAAATTAAACCAAAAATCTTTTTGCTTATTTTTTATTAATCCAAACACATTTTAAGGAATTCTTTTTGCAAAAAGTTATTTTACAAAAATAATAAACCAAAAATCTTTTTGCTTATTTTTTATTAATCCAAACACATTTTAAGGAATTCTTTTTGCAAAAAGTCATTTTACAAAAATAACTTTTGATGTTTAAAAATAATTTCAAACACCTCCTTAACCATGAAAAGTAATTCGTATACAATAGTTTTTTTCTGTATACACAACAATTTAGGTTTTATAAAGTTGTACAATATAACATTTTTAACCACAAATTGTTATTTATGAAAAAAAAAATTGTTATTCACGAATTACTACTTTTAATCATATGTAACCAAGGATAGTAGCTCTAACTCTACAAAATATCTATTGTTTTGTCATTGTCGCGTATTGAAGTTGTGGAATAGACGCGGTGAATTGTAGCTATTATGGAAAAGATATCGCCAAATTAGTCAATTTCCATGTATAAACATGATTGCATATTCGATTTATAAAGTTACTTTGAGACATTAACAGAAAAAAGGTGGCACGTCGGTTCAAAAACAAGAATTTAACACCTAACAAAAAACAATTTTTTGTTTTCGAAAAACTGCTACAGAATGGACTATTAAACTTGCAATCAGGTCATCCATTTAAAATCTAATCGAGAATTTAGACATGATCATCGTTTGAAAGAGTTTACAAATTACAATTACGATTAATATTAAAGATTTAAATAAATAAATAAATAAATCCCACATCACATGGTGCTAAAAAGTAGACTAAACTGCAAATTTAGTCATCAAAAAAGTGTGGATGCAGTTCAAAAAATTTCCAACTTGCACCACGAGTCTAAAATCACAAAGTTTCCGTGGAATTGGTCCCTTAACAACTTGAAATGACTCTTTTACCCTTTTCATTTGTTTTTTGCATTTTTTTTTCATACCACTTTAAATACTTTATTAAAATAAAAATAAAAAGAAAAGAATTAGGCCTATCCACCCTACCCCATCGGTGCCCCCCATCTCTCTCTCTCTCTCTCTCTCTCTCTCTCTCTCTCTCATCATTTACATCCTTCTAGTCTCTAACACAGATCTGTTAATCGCCTCGTTTTTTTTTATCTTCATCCCGATTGGTCCCTTTGCGATAATGATGACTTTTTATTTGGAAATCTATGAAGAATACGAAGGATGTAGATGTAATTTTTGTCCCTGGTAAATCCTACAATCTACCATGGTTTCTTTTCAAGAATCTCCCAAATCATCGTCTTCTACATCTTCTGATTAACGTCATTTCTCAGCATATAGTAGCGATCGGGAGAATTGCATCGATTAGCGTGCTTATCAGAGGATTCGAATGAGAGTGACCTGAATCAGGAGCAGAAACTGGAATTTGAGCCTTGCGTCGGGTTTTTACAATGGGATAGTTTCGCCGAGAAACAAATAGAAAGCTTGAGAGATAGTGACTTTTTATAATTTCTTCACCATTGTCATCTTACCTCCTACATGTCGTTCTTCACTATCATCATCGCTGAACATACTCTCTGATGGATATATTGAGGCTTGAAGAAAAGCTTGAGACATTGGGACGAGCCCTAATTTCTAACGTGTTCTTAAGGGCCTTAATTTCATTGATGGTGGTGGTCTGGAAGTGTTGAATAAATCATACCCGTAACCATCATCTTGACAGGTCGACAACCTTCACCACCGTCGATTTGATGGAGCCAAAACACCACAATGGTCGTTCATACAGATGGCATGAAAATTGATCCATATATACGGGTTGTTTTTAGAGATTGATTTGACCGATCGTTCATACAGATGGGGTTTTTGAGAGATCGATTCTCTATGTATGTGGGTTTTGACGGAGAGATCAAGAGATGTGTATATGTGTGTTATGCCGTGTTGGTTCAGGAGAGAGAGAGAGAGAGAGAGAGAGAGAGAGAGAGAGAGAGAGAGAGAGAGAGAGAGAGAGAGAGAGAGAGAGAGAGAGAAGGGGATAGTGTTGGTTAATTTCCTTTTTTTTTTTCTTATTTTTAAATTAAAACAATGTTAAAGTAAATATAAAAAATGGAAAAAATAAATTAAAAGGGCAAAATCATCCTTTTAGTTTTTTCAAGGACCAAAACCGCAAAATATTTTTAATTTTGGGACCAAAATCACGGAAAATCTTTTATTTTGAACCTTCTATGCAAGTCGAAAACTTTTTGGACCCTATCCACAGTTTTTGTAAAACCACAAGGACCAATTTTGCAGTTTTGTCCTAAAAAGTATGATGGTCAATTTTATCTGAAATATTTAAAATGCCGATTGGTTCAGATCAATTAAAAATTAGATGTGTTGCTATTGCAGGGGTTTTTATTTTTTTCTGGAGCGGTTGAATTGTTGTTGGACTTGAAAAAAAAAAAAATAATAATAATAACAATGGAATAATGAAAGTTTATATGCCATGGAGAGATAGTAGATAAGTAGATAGTTTTATTGCTTATTGGGTCATTCTTATGTTGGAGTGCCCAATTAGTATCTTTATAAAACTCTTTATACAAAAGTACATGATTCGTTTGAACTTTTTTTTTTTTTTTGATATAATCTTGTTGCTGAAAATGGAATGTTTGATTTATACTACGAAAACATTCATTAATTTTTCTTTTTTCAAAAAAAAAAAACAACAATATTTTAATAGAAATTTATGAAAATGAAATACGTTGAATTTGAAGGCATAATGGTTTTACTTGTGCTCACATTACTGGAGTACTATTTACCTTAGCTAAACTTTTTTTTTTTTGCGCTAGTTTTTTTTAAAAAAACATAACTTCAAGTTTAAACTCTAATTTGAAAATTCTCATTCGATCCAATAATGATTGTTAATCACTAACAATTGAGGTACACAAATGAATGCACACATTACTACTCATCATGCATGATCGATTACAACGTATAAACAACCTACAATGCAAAGATGAAATACACTTTTATAAATGACTCCTCTTCTTCTTTCCCTTGATCAAATATTTAATATTTAATGTGGATTACCAATAAACGATTAGCAAGAGTCGCTTTGACTTTGACTAAATCAAGAATCAAGACTTTGACTACTTATTAGAGAAGAGGCAAATACGGAATACCAATTACATGTTAAATGAGAGGACACAAATAAGGTTAATACCTCATATTCAAAATGTCAAAGACAAGATTTCCAGATTTTATAATGTTAAATAACATTTTTTTTTTAAAAAAAAAAAAAAAAAAAGAAAGAAAGCTAACCACAGAAGTTGAGCTTCTTCATGACTTTGGCATATGCTGCTGGGACTAGGGCAGGTAGTCTACCTCTTCGTTTTGCAATCTTTGACTGCATCAATGATAATTAAGAATTTTTATAAATTATAATACTCAATTATTCTAAAATGGTGAATAAAAAGAGAGGATATTAAAAACATGCCTTTAGATGAGCATTATGTCGTTTGCCTTCCTTCCACCTCCTAATCTGCCCATCTTTCATAGTCCTAAATCGTCCCTTAAAAGACCTGATAAACATAACTTCTCTTTCATTCTCATTCTCATATGCATATGATGCTGATTCACATTTTTTTTTATATTGAAGAAAGAATGAAAGGTATATATATGTACATACGAATAAGACTTCATTTTGATTTTCTTGAGCTTGGAGACTACAGGGGTAAGTGGCTGCCTACTCTTTAACTTCCTCTTCCTTTGCTTCAGAGTAAGATGTCTCACTTGCATCATCTGTATATCAAAGCTACAATGTTATTTATTATCACTACTACCAATTTAGATCATGTAGCATGATAAAATAATACCAAATTCAAGAAACATTGAGTGAGCAAACTTACAGAGAGAGGAAGTGAAGAAGACCGATTGGAGCTTGCTGTAAGTTGTTGTAATGTTGAAGATAGAAGTAGGGAACCAAAATTGGGAGGAGAAATCATAGAATGAGTAATTAGGGACTTGTTGCTGAGATTTGAGGCGGCAGAATGGAAGAGACTGTGGTGGAGGTGGTGGTGATGGGAGGAGGAAAGAAGCTGTTGAAGAGGTTTAGGAAACGTTGAAGAAGATAATCCTCCGAGCAATCGGAGCTTTGAGCACCATCTCTGCATTCTTTTCTGCGTAGTTCACTTCACGCCCTAGAGATTGATCCAAACGACCCCTTTAGTTATTATCATAACATACTTTGTAAACACTTTACATAAAATTAAGTCTGTTTGTTATAATTTGTATGTGTTTATGCTACTACAAATACAATACTCCTCTTCAAAGAGTTAAAAAGCACAACATGTACATTACGAAAAAGTACCATAACAGAACAAAAACTCATTGCAATACTGATCAACTATTAGGACTGAATGAAGTCTCGTGTTCCAAACTAGAATAGTGGGTGGTATGAGCTAAATCCAGTTACAAACCGACTAAAGACTATAAAATCAAAAAGGAAAGTAGATGGAATTCAAACAATTAGAATTGGAAACAGATGAAATGGAGCAATAGAACACGATTCAAACAATCAGACATTAGGTTTTCAAGTTCAAAGCACATTCGAGAATAGAAAAGGACTGCAGCGATTAATTACAGAGATGGAGAGTATGAGGACGATGCTAACGTACCGATTTGTTGGTGTTGGTGTTGCTGGGGGTCTCGAATCTCGATCGAGGGATCGCCGATGGAAGCGATTAGAGAGAAAGAGACGATTAGGTTCGATTTCGAGGGCAAGCGAGTCCATTTTCTCAAGAGATCTGTTTGATCCGATTCACAGCCCGTTAGCTCACCATTTCAGAGGCTAGAAAAAAGCCCAACGGATTTCACATTCATTTTACAACACAGTTACTTTGATAAAAGAATTTTTTTTATTATCTAATATCTATTGACTTTTTAAAATATCATAATTTGTCAAAAACATAAAATTTTGATTATCTTATATTTCAAATAACAAAACACATTTAAACATTTCATGTACACCCTTTTAGTATAAGTGTGTATTTGATGTTAATTTTTTAATATTACTTTATAATTTCATAAAATAAAAAAAAAAACACTTATAAAAAGATACACAAGTTTATAGATTCCTTGTGACATTTTAAAGTTCATAGAATACGATCAATATCCAATGAAAGTTTATAATTACGGATGATCATAAATTTTATTAGTAACGAATAATAAATATATAATGTTAAACAAGTATTAGTGTTGACTAGAAATTGTTAAAATAGAAATATTATGCCTTCAACTATTACTTTTTTAGTAAAATATGCAAGTGTTGTTATACAAAACATATAACTAGTATAGTAAAATTTTACTTTTTTTTTTTTTTTTTACTTTTAGTTTTATTATTGGTATTCGTCATTGCGGGCTTATTCATGATTGGTATCTTTGTTTTTTTTTTTAATTTTTAGTTTTATTATTGTATTCTCTGTTTTATCTTTTTCTTTTTATTTTCTTTTATTCATCATTGTGGGCTCTTGTTTCATTTTTTGGAGGTCATCCATGAAAGAAATACCTATATCCTTGAATAGAGGTATGATTGTCTACATCTTATCTTCCCTTTATCATATTTTTATCGGATTTTTCTTTCTGCTGTGTTGTTGTTTTTGTCCAAGTTGACAACTGTTTGAATGCATAGTGAATACAAAGACAAGTAACTAGACAACAACACCGCTTCCAAGTTCTAACATAGAACCTACCAAAAAGGTTATGAATATTTTTTCTTCCTATAGTTAAGGATGTTTCAAAACATAACATCACTAGATTATAACACGTGAAAATCATGGTTATATAGCAATAACAATTCAAATCCTTGATCTTGTTGAAGCTTCAAGAGCAAACACCACAAGTGCCGTGTCTGTAGTAGATAACACCCAAGACTTAGCAAGAGAATGAGAGAGGATAGAGGAGAAAATGCTTAAGAATTTCGGCTATTCTTCTAGTTTCAGGTGGTCAAAATTCCTAAGTGTTAGGGGTCTATTTAATGTGCAAATAGGATGCCCTTGATAACCCTAATTTAAATATAATATTATTATTTCAAATTAGGTAATTATTCACCTCCTTAATTATCCACATGGAATAATCCATAAACCCTAAATTATCCATATGAAAACCGTCCACCTCTTTCCCCATTAAGGTTCTGGAACATCTTGCTCAACTATCGAACAATTGCACTTTAGCTCCTGCACTTTTAATTAATTTTTTTAATCTCAAAATTAATTTCTGATTACATGTTAATTAAATATTACTATTTCTAATTAATATATTATTTTCATAATATATTAACAAATCATTTATTTCAATTTATTAATCAAATAATAAATTCAAATCTCTCTCACTAAAAGTCATCTTGTCAAGTTGTTAGTTTTGAGGCAACTCAAAAGGATGGTGCTATTATCAATTCAAATATATATCAATTATAGTTATGAGCTTAGACACATAATCAATACTCTTCAAAGTCAATGTTTTACCTCTTACTATTGCATTGAAACACCAAACAATGATGATGTAACCAATGTTAATGGTAATGAAATAATGGGCACTACTAGCCCCCTTGTATATATATGCATAATCCTTTAATTTTATGGCATTCTCGATTGGAGTATGTTAATTTTCGTTCTATTCAAATAAAGGAAAAAATTTGACATGTTGCCAAAATGTTCATTTGAAGCGAACTTAGAACTTAGAAGAACTAAACGAGGCAAAATAGCTAAAGATTTTGGACCTGAATACATGACCTTTGTAGTGAATAATGAACCTCAAACATATAAGGAAGCTATGGATTCTTCATAAGCTCCTTATTGGAAAGATGCAATAAAAAAATGAGAATGATTCCAATAATTTTCACAACTAAACTTGATAGGTAATTTACCAAAATTAAATTTCAATTCCAACAAAATTGAATGTTTGGAGGCTCTTGTAAACAAATTTGGCCCAATGGAATCACCTCTATCCACTTCCGACGACAATGTCACTGTGTCGCTACACCATCATCGTTGATCGGTGACAACATTTTATGTCTTGATCCGTCTCTCTCTCTCTCTCTCTCTCTCTCTATATATATATATATATATATATATATATATATATATATATATATGTGTGTGTGTGTGTGTGTGTGTTTCTTTCCTAGTTCGTAAAAACAAAGCACGTGCCACATAATTTGGATTGTGTTTCCTGCCCACAGTAGAATACACACGCCGAATAAAGTTTATGATGTTCTTGTTCTTCCTTGCCCGACCACACCAACAAGAAGAGGACCACGTGGCAATGGTTTCTATATACTTAAATCATATTTTCTTTCATTTAAAATAATCATTTTTTTCTATAATTTAAATCTGAAAAAATACCATACTAATAATACACAATTTTGTGTTATTATCCAATTATCTATAGACCCTCAAAATTAAATCTTTTCCAAATAATTAATAAAAACTGATTTTTTCCTTCAATTATATATCTATTTAAAAAAATCACTTTAGGCTTTTTAAATCATCTTAATCTAACATGAAATGACCTAGATTTCCATTAACCCCAACTCTTCGGCCGTTTCCTGATGTAACATGTTATGATTTTAGGATGAACGATTTACTTAAAACTTATAGTGTATATAATCATATGTAGCCCATGTTAGGTTCATTTGTATAACCTATTGTATTTTACGTGATTAAATGAGAAATATACATTAAAATGGTTTGAGATCTACTACACCGGTTTTGTTGTTATTGATGAATATTTGGTTGATGCCAATTTTCAATTATTTTAAATAGTGTGCTTAATTTTCAACATCCTCATGAGAATTAACACCAATTTTAAAGAGCTGACTTACATTGAGAAATAACTTTATAGTTTACTAGGATTACATGAATTGGTGGTGGAGTTAACAATATACTCCAATAAAATTTTTTATGTCTAAATATAAGGGGGTGTGGGGAAACCCACAAAATTGATTGGATTCGCAGACTTAGACACACTCAAAAAGTCGATGTTAAGGTCTACGCCCCACAAGCTAGATCAGACAAAAGAAGATTATGGTTAAAAATATATAACTCAGAAGGTATCATAAATGGAATTTGGAGGATATTTGCCTCAAAGGAAATTTATAGTTATTAAAGGAGGCAAGAAAGATGGTGGTTGAGATTGAAAGAATTGCAAAAGAGAGATTATTAACTGATGCTGAGATTACAGAAAGAAAAGAACGTAAAACACAAATCAATTAACTGGATCGTTTTGCCAGGCGTAACCTACAACAAAAGTGGATCTATGATAGGAATGAAAACATTGCATTCTTCACTTTGAAATACAAATGGGAGATTATCAAAGGAGATGTAATTAGCTTTGCGAAACACTTTGAAAACATACGGTCAATTTGTGAGTGGTTGCAATTCATCGTTCATCACATTGGTCCCAAAGGTTAAAGACCCTCTTCATCTAGGTGATTATAGAGCCATCAACTTGATTAGGTGTTTATACAAGATCATAGCAAATATTCTTGTCACCCGACCCAAAACAGTTATTGTCTAAATAATTGATGAAGTCCAATCGGCTTACATCAAAGGAGGGAATATCATTGATGGACCACTGGTAATCAATTAAATTTTTTTCTTGGGCCAAACAAACAAAAGAAAAAATCTTCATGTTTAAGGTAGACTTTGAGAAAACATTTGACTCGTTGAACTGGCGATTCATAGATTCTATAATGGAACAAATGGGCTTCAGTTATAAATGGAGGAATCAGATATATTGTTGTCTCGAAGGCATCGGTTCTTGTAAATGGATCCCCCACACGGGAGTTCCAGATCACGAAAGGAGTCAGATAGGGTGACCTTCTGTCATATTTTCTCTTTATAATTGCAATGGAGGGACTGAATATTACGATTAAGAATGTGTCTCAAAAATCACTATATAATGGTGTCATCTTACCAAATGATGGATCATGTCTAACATATATCTTTTACGCCGATGATTCCATGTTTATTGGTAAATGGGAAACTGGGAGTATCAAGAACCTAGCTTGAATACTGAAATGTTTTCTGTGACATCCCCATTTTTACGGTCAGAAAAGACCGATTTGTTTATGTTTTGTTTTAAAATCAGAGTAATTGTTTTAAAAAAAAACTGTTGCGGAATTTGTTCCCAAAACAAAATGTGATAAAATAGAATGTCATGTTCCGATACAGACCAAAAGCATAAACAGTATAAAATAGACCTTACAACAGTTATTTATAACTACTGATCTATAATCTAAAATCTCCCGTCAAGTCCACCAACTTTCACTCTTGTGCCATTACCTGTAATACAAAGAAAACTGAGTGGGTCAAGCTTGGGAGCCTGGTAAGCATATAGGGTTTTCAACCCACAATAATATAATTATTATATTCAATCATCAAATAATCAACCCAATTACCCATCCCTATTATCTTCTTTATTTCTTAAGGTTTTACCCTAAGAATCCACTATCCTTCCTTCATTCGTTCCTAAGGATTGACCTAAGGAATTGGCACAAAGTCCATTGCTGCCCGAGGTTCCTATAACAAACACTAAATTCATAGTTGCCAAGGTTCATCTATACAGTACTAAATCCATAGCTACCAATGTTCATACGCACTGTACTAAATCCATAGCTACCAACATTCATCTACACTGTACTAAATCCATAGCTACCATCGTTTTATTATGAGGCACTAAATCTATAGCTGTCAGGGTTATTTAGAGTACACCGGTGAACATCAAGTCCACAACACCTACAAG